ACTACTACTACTACGACCACTACTACGACGGCTAGTACGACTACGACTACGACTACGACTACGACTACGGCTACGGCTACGGCTACGGCTACGGCTACGGCTACGGCTACGGCTACGGCTACGACGACGACGATTATTACGACGACTACCACTACTACTACTACTACTACTACTACTACTACTACTACTACTACTACCACTACTACCACTACTACCACTACCACTACCACTACCACTACGACGACGACTGTGACTACTATATTATTCTGCTCGCTCTCGTCTTTGAAGTGTGCGATTTCGTGGCATACCTCGGCAGCTTGATGTCGAACAGCACAGCACTGCAACGGAAGCCTACTTTAGGAGTCGGAATATTTTGGAACAGTATCCCCTTCAGTCCCCATAGCTATATTAACTCATATTACGAAAACAATCCCCAAACCTTATTCTAATCATTCAGGCCTCCGTATTAAGTGTGTGAGACTTCGGTTCAGGCCCTCAAGCCCCAACGGTGGACCCTCAGCTCGACCTGGACCCTAAAATACATAACCTGCCTTTTAAACACTTGCGCAAACCCTAAGCCCTAAACCCTAAGCCCTAAACCCTAACCCTAAACCCTAAACCCTAAACCCTAACCCTAAACCCTAAACCCTAAAAATACCCAAACACAACCCAAAAGACATGCCGAGGTCTTGGTCTTCGGTCTCAGCATGCAGGAGGCGGGAGTCTTGTAGCCGCCATATATAAGCTGTACCTGGGCCCTGAAGAACCTACCTTTTTAGGGTTCCTTAATATGAATTCCTTATACAAGTCCTTAAAAAGGTAGGTTATTTGGGGTTAAGGTAAACTGACACTTCAACCTCTTTTCTTGTAACAAACACCTCGGTCAAACTTGAGGGAAGGCTGGTGCGGCTGTCTACATGTCTTGCAACCTTGTAAGCTGGGCAGCTAACCCTAAGGGTCCATGTACCCAAATTTTATAGACTTGGGCCCCAAAGTACCATTTTAGGGACCACATAAAGGTCAAAACATATACTATTTGGGTACATGGAATGTTGGGGTAAGGCGGGGGCTTAGGAGCTCGATGTTCGCCGACCAGGGCTTTGAACCGACAAACCCCGAAGGGTCCATGTACCCAAATAGCATAGACTTTGGCCTTAGAGTAGTCCCTAAACCCTAAACCCCTATTTAGGCACTTTGGGGCCGTTTTTAGTGACAGGGATCCGTAGGGGAAGAAGCCTGGGGTTCTGCACTTTGGCTGGGGATCTGTGGGCTCTGAGTTGGCCTGTGGGTTACTTTCACCAGGTTCCCCAGTAGTACCCTTTTGCCCTTTTCCTTTTTTGAAGTTCCCTTATTATAACTAAATAGTAGGAAAAAGGGTACCCTTATATTAAGGGGCTACTGGGGAACCCAGTTCATGTATTTCAAGAACTGTTTGGTTTAGGGTTTAGGGCTTTATACGAATATGCGATCATGTGTTTCAAGAATGGAAAGCCCGGGCCTTGACATTGAGAGCATGATGTCTTCTCTGCTGGCTATCGAGATTTCGGTTCCCAACATCCCCTTAATAGTACTGGCCAGTAGTAAGGGTACTTTCCTTATAGAGTTTAGGGTTGTGGATTTGGTGATGGGCTTTGTTGTTGTTTGCCGATTGCTGGCCAGCCATGGGATGCCGTAATTCAACCTCTAACCGCAAGCACTTCACCCGAAAGCCCGTACCAGCGCAATTAGACTTAATAAGAGAAAGGCATGGCGCCTCAAAGCGCTAGTAGAGAGGTCAATGTTCTCAACTTCCTCATGATCTTGGCAGCCGCTGTGGCTGCAAAATCCGGAATACCCTGAAACTTCAATCTCTAGTTGCACTTTATATCGACACCCCCACTCAACAACAAATCTACACCCTTAAACCCTGAATCCCGAAAAGCTACACCACGCGATGCGAGCACCCTCCCTTCAAAAAAACACCCGCAGCCCAATGCCACAGCCTCGAAACCTCGTAAAGTCCTGAGACCGAAAATTACTGGTCCTGAATATGCAGCTCCCAAGCCCTACCTGGACCATTCAAAACCTTCCTCTTTCGGGCTCTTTACTGCGATTTCCTTATGTACCTAAAGTCTCCATTGTGGTTCCTTTTGGGGGATACCTTATAAAATCCTTAATATATAATTGGTCGAACCCAAAAAGGAATTACAATGGAGACTATAGGTAAGTCCTTGAGAAGGCGGGCCTGCTTGGAATCCAGGGAAGCCCTACGCCACTCTGGGCCTTAGGCCCTGAACACTAGGCCACTAGGCCCTAAACCCCTGAAGCACAAAACCCTAAAGTCTCCAAAACTCCTTAGGGTTTCGGGTTTAGGGGTTGGGGTTTAGGGTTTAGGGTTTATACCGGGCCTGAGCTTTAGCAGGATGTAGGGTTTCTATAGTATTACTTACTATCATGATTTGGGAAAGTAGCCCCAGCAATACGCAGGACCCTTTGGGCTCAACGGTTTGGGTTTGGGTTTAGTTGCAAGCCGATGCTTAGGGTTGTCGGATGTCCGGTTTAGGCTGGGTTCGATGCTTTTCTGTTTGAAGTTTACAGAAGCCCTTGTGAATTTAGTGTTTGGGGTTTAGGAACCCCGATCGTATGCGGAATAATGGCCTTTTACAGGTGTTGGGCCATTAGTTTACCTACTTTTTTGGCGGGTGTAGGTAGGGTTTATAGTGCTTATGAGGACATCCTTAATCTGCGGACCCCCGACTACAGAAAAAGCCCCAGAGATATTACTGAGCTTCCAGGCAACTGTGAAGCTTGAGAACGTTCCGGGAAGTCGCGCCGGTGAGCGCTGGGATGGGTTTTATTGGGTCCCTAGCTGCTTAAGCTGCTAAGGTGTAAGATGAACGACAAGCACATGAGGTGCACTATTACGAGGTCTTATAGGTTCGGGTGTCGGGGTTGCGGCTGAAAGCGTGAGAAGCTGGTGATCCTAAACCCAGAGACCCCATCCTCCCGAGCCCAGGTAATTTGCCTCTGTGGCTGGAGCCAGAGATGGGTGCAGGCAGCAACGCAACCTGCTATAGGGGCCTTAACAACTGCCTATACTGTTTTTGAGGGCTCCTTATTTCGATTATAGTATAATGTACCCCGAGGCCCCTACATTAGATGATCCCAGGTCCAAGGTGTCGGGTATTTATTTATGGGAAATCGATTATGGCATGCACGTTTCGGACTCACAAGTCGTACCCAAGGTGACGGATGGAAGTGATACCAACTCATGACCACGATGATGATTTCCTTCCTTGCTGCCTTGATGTGTACTAAACCCTACTGGGGCAACCCTAAACCCTTAACCCCTAAACCCCTAAACCCTATAAGCAGTGAGGATCTGCCCCCTTTTGCTTAGCAGCTTGGCAGAGGAACCCGTGGTCCCAACCGATGAAGGCTGTCTAAGAAGTCTAGACAGCAAGGAAAGGTAATGCTTTAAGGTAGAAGGGTTTAGGGTGTAAGGGTTTAGGGTTTAAGGGTTTTGGGGTTTAGGGTTTAAGGGTTTGGGGTTTAGGGTTTAAGGGTTTAGGCTTTTGGGTTTAGGGTTTAGGGGTCAAAACCGACAGCCTTCAAGCCTCGCACACTCGCGCTCGGAGCGCGAAGCTTGAAGGGACTTGCAGGGTTAAGGAAGCTGGGTGCTCTAGTCCCAAAAGGTCAAAGTAATAGTGTAACATACACTTCTGGACCCCAAAAAATCTACGAAGAGCTTACTCTATTGGTAACTTGGACCCCTTGGTAGTCTTGGGCAGGCTGGGAACCTCTTCTCCATGACATCTTTGACGATCATGTGCCTGCAGTACTTGGCACGAAACTTGGCAAGGTCGGCCTCCTTAAGCTGAACCCCCGAAATGCCCTGTTATTGTGTACATCCTAAACAAAATCTTTCAGCCCAAAGCCTCAATTTTGTTTATGTTAGAGGAGAGATGTATTGGAGATAGTATGCCCCTAGACTCCCAGTATGATGCTTTGTTAGTTGACACCAACTTAGGCCACATGAGATCGGTCACTGGTTCCAGGAAAACCGTCCCAGCGCTATGCCCGCCATGTATCCGTCGCACGTGTGTCGCAACTTTCTGGCTTTCACTGTGACGCTCAGGGGCTTTCAAGGCTTGTGTGGGTTCTATGTAAGGATCGGTACGCGCAGTTCTCGCATTTGGGCCATGAGACCCCCCAAACCCTAAACCCCTAAACCCTAAACCCTACACCGTGTCAAGCCACGAGCGCGAAGTCCGAAGTCCTAACTTTTGGCTCACAAGACTCACGTGCCACGACTGGTGCAACTCGGACCTTTGATCCGGTCATGTGAGAGGGCCACCTAGGATTATGCTGCAAGCCTCAAGGACAATGGTTCTCGTAATTTTATGTCCCGGGTTCGTTTAAGGGTTCCTGAGAGGGCTAAGTGGCGGACACAACAACTCAGTTCCCCAATACCCAACCTTTCAACTTTTTAGGTTCTCATAA